CTTCTCAGGCTCAACTACGGTGAAGGCTGCTGCGGCTTGCGGCGGAAGTCGTCGGAGGATTGGTGGGTTACGTTGCTAGTCATGGTGATTAACGGCAGATCCCTTGGGATTTGTGCTGGCTCTCGCGGGTAGCGGCTTTTGAGGGATTTCTGAGCCATCGTCCTTCACAAGCTTCCGTGTTGTTGCTTTCACCGGACCGGATCTGAATCGGCTTGGTCTCGAAGAAGGGTAAGGGTTACGACTTTGGAGTTTGAGGGTTAGATTTGTGTTTATTGATTTGCTAGGTAGGGGAGTTGATAATAGGGTTCTGAGATGTCGGAGATTTGGGCCATTCTGGGAGGTCCGTGGTGGGTCATGCTTCTCGCCGGAAACGACACAGCGACAGGAACCTAATACTCCGGTCAACGGGTTCGGTTCCGACGACAAGACGCAAAGCTGTGGTCCTTGTATTAGCCGGAATTAGTGGTCTTGTCTCTGCTCTCAGCTGCCGCCCAAATCAGATCTCAGTCACCGGAACTTTCACCGGAATTTTTCTTCATTTTGTATCTGTGTAGCTGGGCCAATTTCAGGCCTTTTGGCCCATTTTAGGGGCAGGCCCATTAATAAAATAAAATTAAAAAAAAAAAAAAAAAAAAAAAAAAAAAAAAAAAAAATGATATGTATTTATAGGACTTGAGAAGCACATCTAGCCTAGTGGGTCACCACTAGTTGCTGTCTCTTCTCATATAGTTTGAATATAGAAAATGGGTTATTAGACCGGCCAGTTGTGACCGAACAAACAAAACAAATTTGAAAAGGACATTCTTTTAAAAGGTTTTGTCCATATTAAGCCTTGTTTCCAACAATTAGTTGTCTTCGAAAACTGTAAATATACTTGGAGAAAGATACCACTAGACTTACCATATGAAGATTCAAAAGATCATGTGGCTCCTCTCGTTGTAACCATAAGAAGATTGAAAAGATGCTATGGCTCCTCTCATTATAACCATATGAAAACTCAAAAGATTATTTGTCTCCTATTGTTATAACCATACTGATAAGTTCAAATTTACCCTAGAGCTACTCTCCAAATTAACTGATCAATTGTAATATTTAATTTAGGGGTCAAATTCCACAAATTTTTCAAGTTCAACAATAGACTATCAGTATTCGAATTAAACTAAACGAAAATCAAGAAAACAAATAAGAGCGAAGCAAATTAAAAGAGTTGTAAACGATTGGGAAAAGAGATAGGCTCAGGGAAATTCTTGCGGTATTTCAAAATTACAAACCAAATAAATAGTTAAGGGTTTAATTAAGGACCGTTCTTGAACTCAAAACACAAAATTCAAATCAATCAACTCTCGTTGCAAAGATTATCTATGTCTAGATCCTAGAATTTTAAATCTTTTTGCGAATTCAACAGTTCAAAACATGCATTAAACTCAATTTTGATATGTTCACAAAATCCTTAAACCAAATATCTTTGTGAATCTGTATTTGGCTTATATATCTAGGATTATTTCAGAAAATTAATAACACTCTCGTATCTACCAATCAACCTAAGATCTAAATTCTTAGGTGATCAAACTAAAACTAGCATTAAATCATAGATAAAAAACTATATGATTACCCTAACAAATCTGTCTAACCTAACAATTTATCCTTAACCTTTGAAAAACCCTAAATCTAATAAGTGAATTACTCAGATATAATTGATGAAAAACAAATCATTGTCTGAATAAATTGCATTAAGAAATCAAAAGAAATAGTAAATGAGTTTTGAATCTTCTCTGATAGAGTTATGATTCTTCTCTCCAAGCTTTGCTACAAATCTCTCTCAAAAATAAGCGTAGAATAAAACTTAGGTCTAAACAATGACCAAAAATTCTATTTATAGCTAAAAACACGATTTGGGCATAATTGCAAATAGGAAAAAACTTTGGGGCAGTTTTGCAATTTTTCAAAACTTCAAAATCGTTCGAAACTTCCATCCACGACCGCTGTCGACCGACACCCAGGAGAAGTGTCGATCGACACCATCTTCAAATTTGATCTCCAAGATTGTTTCTTCAACGCAACATCTCGGTTTGCTCGAAAATGCTCCAAAATCTACAAATAAGTCTCGAATGTACCTAAACATACAAAGACTCGAAAAGACTCTGGAAACACCAAAAATATTCTATAAATAAGACTTATATCATGGTTAAACACCGTAAAATCATGATACAGTATATCACATACAAAGACTCAAAAGATCCTCAGACTCCTCTCATTTGAGTGATAAAAGTATTTGAGTGATCAAAGAATCCGGCAATGCACTGTTTCATTCGTACCTCATCAGAAGACACAACCCTAAAGTTTAAACCATTGTCAAAAAATCGTAGGCCTTGACTTCTTCAATTTCTTTCAAATACTACGGTTATAAATCAAATTTACGTAAAGTGTACAACTGATGGAGGAATCTAAAGAATTATCGATTTAATTCATTGGAGTCTTCAAAAAAAATTCAAGAAAGGAATCCTCAGACTCGCGAGTATAGTCCATTGAGACAAATAAACATTAATCTATAAGTACTGTTGTTGTGTATACTAGATTTTCTTGTCACTTCGTAAATACTAAATACTCCCTTAATCCCTTTTCGTTAAAGATTAAATTTTTAAATTTTTCACATTAAAAACAATATATGATTAATTATACTTATATTATTATCTTAAACTAAACAATTTTCAATAACTATCAACCAACAGAATTTCAACAAGTTTATTTGTTTATTTAATGCTTCTTAAAATTGATAATTTATTAATATTAATTAATAAAAAGTGTAGAAACAAACTAAAAAAATCAATCTTTGCAAAAAAGAAATAGATAACATTGTTCATTGTAAAATTACAAAAAAATAAGTATGAGGACTCAATAATTACAATGACCATGAGTCAGAGATCTACAAGAAGCTCTATTGGCATGCAGCTGGTTGTGCTGGTGAGCACATGAGCCTTGTCATTGGCAGTGCCGACTGAGATGAGAGGGCGGACGGTGCGATCGCCCCGAGTCTAATCCTGTATTTTAATAATTAATGGATCTATTTTCAAAACTATTTTTAAAATAATAATAATAATAATAATTCATTTAACAAAGTAAAAATAAGATTTAAAAGTGTCCTAATTCTTTTATATGTATAGCTTTTTTTTTAATAACAAACTTTATACAAAAAAAAGTCTTAGAAATTTGTTTTATATTTAGTTAAAAACAAAAAAAAAAACATTTAGAGCAAAAAATATTTTTTTGCCCTAGGGTGCATAATAATTCCTATCAGTGTAGGAATTATCTATTTTAATGAAAGTTGCAATTAGGCTTAGCATATTATACCCATGGTTTGTTAGATTTAGCTTTGGGATTGGGACAAATCGACTCAAACTTGATCATCTTTTATGTGCTTGTAGGTCAAATTATTCAAATTTTCTTGCATTAATCTCAGTTTATATGTTCTTATGAAATTTGCAGCTAAGCCTAGCAATTTATAGACAAGGTTTTGACGGTTTTGTTTAGGTTTTCCTAGCTATAACATGGTAATTAAAAATTCAGATGATAATAGTTTTTTTCTTGAGATTTGTTCTTCTTACTTCTGTTTGGATTCTTTAACCATGGAATTAATATGCTTAAAAGACAATTTATGCATTTTATTATTTTTGTAAAAATTATATTCAACCAAAAAACATATTTTACTTATACTACATCCTTGTTTTGATGTTTAATAGAACAGAATACTTAAAGAAACGGAACAAAACAGAGTCGATCATCTTGTTGCGAACCAGAGCCGTAAACCATCCTTTGGTTTAGTCGAGTGCATGTCTCTGAAACGAGAAAAAGCAACTTCGGACAATAGGATCAATGCTCTTGGTTAGGGAGTTCGTCTAAGACGGAAATTTTTCCGTGTTTCGGTCAATATTAAAAATAAAATCAGTCATCTAAAACGTTTAGTTGACGCCTAGACAATGTTCGATTAACTAAAAGCTAACTACAATTACGGTTTCTTTTTCCCGGCTGACTATAAATTTTACTTATCATTGTCTTGACCCACCAAATCATTGATTTAAGAAAGTCAAAGCATGAATATATGTATTGTGATGGCAGGGCACGAAGCTACGTTTTACATACGAAGGAACCAATGAGTGGTGGTGGGACAAATATTTTGATACGCAGAAATTGAAAAACATTCGGCAAGAGACCAAAAAGCGCGTACGTTACCAAACCGTCCCTACCGTTTCACCGACCGATGGCCACAAGGATGATCACGTGACCCATCACGCGTCGAAGTTGGGTAAATCCACCGAAAAGACTTTTTAGTATCCATCAACCACTATGCCTTTTCTTTAATACAAGTTGTTGCAATTTCTAGGTTCTTTTGGCCAGGTTTTGTGCCTACAATTTTTCAGGTTCTAAAACTAATAAAAATATGATGTATACATATTTTGAAAAATTTGACATCATAAAAAAAATTGTAAATTCTTAGAGACAATTAATGTCATTTTTCTTAATATGTGAAATGGACCTTTAAACTCAAGAAAAATAGCACTAAATTCCTTATTTTACATACTATATACCAAATGAAAATTTAAGAACTTGGCACTTGAAATTGGTATTAAGGGTCTAAGAAAAATCTATATTTTGTTATTTTATTTTTATGTCCCTGTAATGATTTTTTGGCTTGGCTTCTTGCGATCCAATTAGCTGTCGATCTATAACTTTGTTAATTTATTTAATTACATTGTTTTTGTTTCTAATCTAACAAGTTGGATTGGCTTTTTGTCAGAAACTTGGACAAAGTAAAATGTTAAGCCACATTGTCTTAAGAATATTCCGTTAAATAATCTTCCAGGCGACAAGATTTCAGTCAATAATTTTGACTGGATTACGTCTAAAATAAAACCTCAAAACCATACAACATTAAGGGAAAAATGAGAATAATATTAATGAATTAATTGAATTACACTAGAATTTGTAACCAAAAAAAAAAAAAGAATTACACTAGAATATTATTTTCTACTACCAAAGACCAAACATTGGAATTTCTTTTAATTCTCAGACCATAGTAGAGCAATCCGACGTCGTAGGATCATACAAAGCAGGAAGCAAAAACTTCCTGCCGTTTGCACCATACGCATTAAAACTACCTCCCGTTGTAGTATCCACAAGTAAATCTCCAGCATAACCAGGATAAGCTCCTTTACCATAAACGCCAGGACAAGCAGACGCAGCTTCAAGCGGTGCGTTTTGTGGACCTTGGTAATAACCATTACCAAACGGGTTCGTTGCGGTTCCAGCTAAAAGACTAGCTAAGTTAATAACCATTCCGTCAAGTCCAACGTCATTGTTTGGTGCTACAAGTGGTGGACTCTGTGGACCGTACACCGGCGCGTGGAAAGGCCACGCGCATTGACCAGGACATTGTGTCTCGGAGTTTCCGACCCAAATGTAAGCAAACTTGGAGCCACGTTTACCTAAACCACGAGCGTGTCCATGAGTCCCGCAACGACTCATACCAAATCCTGTTACCGTCACGTCAGCTGAAGTCAAAACGACGTTGATGGCGTCGCGTTGGTCACCTTTTGAAGCTAGTTGGCGAATCTTTTTATCGGTTAAAGATTTTCCAAGAGAGCAAGACTCGTCGAGGATTTGTTTCCCGAGAGTTAGAGAAAGAGGTGATGAGTTTTTATTGGGTGTTGCGAGTTTGTAGTATTTTTCTGTGGTTTTCCACCACGTGGCGACAGATGGTTGGTGGAGAGTTTTGGACGTAGGAGAAGTGTGTGTGAGTGAGGTTATGAAGTCGGAGATGATTGCTCTTTGAGATGGTTTGAATTTGCCGTACCAGATTAGGTTAACGGAGATTTTGCCGGAGAGAAGAGCTCCTTTGTGGTACTTTAGTAGTTTAAACTGGTTTGGTTCTTCAGTTGCTAGGTTCCTAGCAAAGACAGAAATTTGGAGAAGAGACAAAAATAGAAAGAGTTTAAAAACTAACGAATACATTTTTTCTTTTTGAGGAAAAGTGAAAGAGAAGATTGTGTAATAGTGAAGGAAGTTTGGTTTTGATGTTTAGATTGGTTTGTGAGATATATGGAGTGTGATGGGGCTATATATATGCCTCTCCGAGTGGATTTTATTAAAAATGGAAATTAGATTTTGAATATGAATTAAATAATAAAGGTTGAAAAAAGAGAGAGAGGTATGCTTTAAAGTGAAAGAGAAAGGGAAGTTGCAGAGAAATAGGAAAAAGAGTAATGGACCATTGTACTGTTGCCAGCTAACGAATGATCCATAGTCCTACACAACTTTTGGTTTATGTTAAAATTTGAATTTTAATTATGTTATGGTTATATTGTGTGATGTCATTATAAATTACTCAGTTTCTACTCACACAACTTTTTTATTACATATAACTTTGGTATATGTTAAAATTCTAATTTTTGTTTGTTTCATTGTTATGGTTATATTGTGAAATAAATTAATCAGTTTCTTTAATGAATTCATTACAAGTTTTCATAAAAATATTTATAATGCTAAGTATAACTTCATATAAATGTTATGAGTATATTTTGGATTTGGATAAGACTAGAATGAGACATAGGATTCTTGTGGTAGAAGCTGTACATGTTGTGGATTGTTTATTTTTTTTTTTTTGACATCTTTGGATCGACAAGGTCCGATCCATAGCCAATCCCTATTACGCGGGGTAACGCGACTTAGTGGAGTCGAACTCCGATGGGGAAGGCGGAGTCAGGTGGACTTAATCACTTGACTAAAGGCACATCCCGGATTGTTTATTTAATAGTACAAATTAGAACTTGAATCAAGTTGGACCAATAAAAAACTGTTGTTAGTGGTAAATAGTATTTATGTATGTATTATATACTGTAAGAATTTAATAAAAAGTTTCAACTGTGTCAGATTAAGCAATAGTTACATACAGCCAATAAAAAATTGATTAAAAAGAGGAATCAAAATTGACCATATCGATAAAATGTGTTGAGGAATATACAGCTTAGTTACAGACAGCAATAACTTGAAATGACGAAAATACCCTTATGCAAGCTGTGTTTTTTTTTTAATAAAGCGCGTGAGCAGTTAAAGAAAAAATGTGAAACTTCTGAGAGACGTTGGGAGGACTTTTAATCTTTAGGACAGGCTGGATAATGTTTTTAAGACAAAAGACTTTGGAGAAGTAGAGATATGGGGAAGAGTGTACAGCTGGCAGTTAGTAGATAGAGAAGAGAGTAATCCTAAAATTCCTAATCCATAGGTTTTGAGAGCATTTACTGACACTATGTCGGCACGTGACATCACGCGCTTCCACGTCATGAATTTGACACGTGATTATCACGCGCGTAGACGTTGTCATTAATTTGTTAAGTACTAGTGTTAGAGAAGAAGGTGGGTGAAGCTCGTGACTGGGGGAGCTTGTGAGGTACTAACAAAACATTAGCTGGACTATGGCTGGCTCTGTCTCTCACACATAATTCGCCGTCCGGAACCGTTTAGGTTTTTTTTCCCTATAAATATATATGTGTATATATAATAAGCTTTTATTGATAGCATGAATTAATATAACTTGAGTTATAGATATAAATTTATTTTAGTTCATACAAACTACTAATTTTTTCCATTATCTTGGACTTAGTTTCCAAAGATATTTTGTTATCTTCCGGCTTAGTTTTTGGGGTTTACTATGTTGATCACCGGTTTTGTAATTGTTCTAATCTTATAATTTATTCTTTAGATGACAAACAAAAAAAGAAAGATATAATTTTGATTATTTTTAAAAAGTTGATACCAAAAGAGTGATTTGATTGATATTTTTGGTTTAAATTATAATGTGTTATGATTAATCTATTATTTTGGAGTTATATCTTTTGTAAAATTCTTAACTCAAAATCATGAAAAATATTACTCCCTCTGTTTTAGATAAAAGCACATAATTTAAAAAAATTAATTTATCTTTAAAAATATCATTTAATATTTGATTTAATAAAATTCAACAATGATATAGAAAAATGCAAAATTCAAATAGTCAAAAATATCAAATTATTTATAATTTGCCTAGAAAATTGTAAAATATTTTATAAAATAAAACAAAATAAAAAGTCTAAAAACCTTATATTTTGAAACGAAGAGGTATATTTTAGAGACTGAGTCTAAAATATAAATTAAAGAAGTAAAACTAATGATTTTTGAAACTTTATTGTGTTCATTTTGTCTAACCGTAGTTTGGAAGCTGTCCCAAATTCAACTATTCTAATAGTACTCGAATTCGGTATAAAATGTAGGGACGATTGACGCAGATACAAAAATAGAGTGTCTTGAGTTATTGATAGCATGAATTAATATAACTTGAATTATAGATATAAATTTTTTTAGTATACAAACTACTAATTCTTTCCATCTTGGACTTAGTTTCCAAAGATATGTTGTTATCTTACTGCTTAGTTTTTATGGTTTACTAATCGCCGGCTTTGAATTGTTCTAATCTTATAATTTATCCTTAAGATGATAAACAAAAAAAAGAAAGATATAATTTTGATTATTTTTTATAAATTGATACCAAAATAGTGATTTGATTGATATTTTTTGTTTAAATTATAATGTGTTATGATTAATTTATAATTTTGGAGTTATGTCTTTTGTAAAATTCTTAACTCAAAATCATGAAAAATATTACTTCATCTGTTTTAGAATATATGATGTTTTAGATAAAAGCACAAAGTTTAAAAAATTTAATTTCTCTTTTAAAAATTATCATTTAATATTTGATTTAATAAAATTCAACCAATGATATAAAAAACTGCAAAATTCCAATAGTCAAAAAATATCAAATCATTTATAATTTGCCTAGAAAGTTGTAAAACATCCTATAAAATGAAACAAAATAAAATGTCTAAACAATCGTATATTTTGAAAGAGAGAGAGTATGTATTAGAGATTGAGTCTAAAATAAAAATTAAAGAGGTAAACTAATGTTTTTTGAAACTTTATTGTGTTCATTATGTCATAAACGTCTAGAATAGTCATCTAACCGTAGTTTGGAAACTGTCCCAAATTCAACTATTCTAACAGTAATCGAATACTATATCTTGAGAGTTTGTGGTATAAAATGTAAGAGTCCTCGAAAGAATATGGAGCTTTGACAATTTTTGTATGATACGTGTGTTGAAGAAAAAATTATCATTCAATATTTGATTTAATAAAATATAATCAATGATATAAAAAACTGCAAAATTCAAATAGTAAAAAAATATCAAATCATTTATAATTTATCTAGAAAGTTGCAAAACATCCTATAAAATGAAACAAAATAAAATGTCTAAACAATCATATATTTTGAAAAAGAGAGAGTATGTTTTAGAGATTGAGTCTAAAATAAAAATTAAAGAAGTAAAACTAATGGTTTTTGAAACTTTATTGTAGGTGTTCATTATGTCATAAACGTCTAGAAGAATAGTCATCTAACCGTAGTTTGGAAGCTGTCCCGAATTCAACTATTCTAACAGTACTCGAATACTATATCTTGAGAGTTTACGGTATAAAATGTAAGAGTCCTCGAAAGAATATAGAGCTTTGACAATTTTTGTATGCTTGATATGTTTGTTGAAGAATCATGTGGTTTTAGGAATTGTGTTGGAACCAGATTTTCTTAGTGTTGTACAGATCCATTTGTTGAAAGTGAATTGATTTTTAGTGAAAACTGATTTATCTTGGCAAATATCAATGAACCGAGCTTATCTTGGTGTATAGCTTGGAATTTGTTGTGGCTATAGAGTTCTTACATTTACTGATTTACATGGAACTCGTTGGCTAGCTGGCTGAAGCCATGTCATTTGTATCCATAATATTTTGTCCTTAACTAGTAACTATTCATAACCAAATTATATATAATTCGTAAAACTAACAATTACTATTTTATATGTACTTGCAACATAGTGTTAATTATTTGTAATATTTTGAATGTATCTGTTTTATAGGTTTTCATAGAAACAAAAGCTGCATATTTAACACAAGTTTTCGTAAGTAATTGAGCTTAAAATGTTGATGATATTTTCCAATAAAAACACATTGAAATGTGTATTTTTTTTTTAAACTCATTGAGATGTGTTATCTCCTTGTGAAAAGGAAACTATTTTAAAATCAACCAAAAAAAATCTAGCATGGCTGAATCCTCTTCTAGTATCTTACATATGCATATCTGTTATATCCCATGTCCAACTATATTTATGAGTCCCATGCAGTTCAAGTGCAATGTATGATAGATAAGTTGCGACTAGAGAAAATCAAAAGTGAACACAATATGGACCACTCTCCAATCCACACGCCCATATCCCGAAAACATTAATCTATTGAAGGACACTAATTTCTTTTTTTTGGTACAAAACATTGGCTTTCAAATCAAGCTTCATTGTTGTCTTGCTGATACCTTGTTTTTTCTATCCTATTCTTTTCTCTCTATTTGTTTTTCCAAGAAATAAGAGTTGTGAAGTACTTTTGTGTATTTATTCCTTGATTAATGCCAGATGACCTGACCTACAAAACCAGGAAATTGAAAGATTTATAATATTGAAGTATAACTTGACTTGGCCTAAAAAGTTCTCAAATTTGATTCATGAAGAGGCTTTTGTGATTATAGAGGTAATCGTGGTGCTGTTGGTGACATCTTTACATAAAAAAATGGTCTTTAACTTACATATGTTTGGTAGGTTCATGACAAAAAAAATGTATTGCAGTTCAACTTACAAAATACTACTATGACTTAAGTTCGAGCGACTGATTTAAAAAAATGCTAACAGGCTCTTGAATCAAAGAGATTTAAATATTATGGCAGACGTTATCCTATATTTCCCTTCTACCAAACATTTTATTTTCCAATATAGGAGAATCCTAATGATCTTACTCAAATAATCATCTTTATGATATAAGTTTTTTTTACTTAGTATAAACTTATACCAATTTCTCTTTTAAGAAAATAATTAATAAAATCTAGAATAAAACTAAATTTTATTTTTCTAAAACCTTTGGTGGTAACGCTGAACACTGATTTGTGTTCTTAACATTATTTTATTAAGAAGAGAGAGAAGAAAAAAAAGAAAGAAAAAAGAAGAAAAAAAGAGGACTAATACACAAAAGACACGTGCTCATAATACTCTTAGAACACCTTAAGAACAGTTCTCGGGGAGGAACACAATTCCACTTTGTCTTATACTGTTCAAGCCTATTATTAATTTAATACTCTTAGAACACCTGATGTGTTTTGGCGATGCATATGGTCTAGAACTAACTGCAACTAGAACATGATCCAACCACAACTGATATAAGCCGTCCGATTAATCTTTAAGATAAGCTAGCTGGACAGGGAAAACTTGACCTACTAAATTTTTAATTAGGTTTCGACATCAAACTAGAGGGACGTAGTTCATTTTTCTTTGTCAATACTAGACAACACAACCAGCCAATAACACGTACATTCCAAGCTCTTACTTCCCATATGCGAATATGAATTTGTTTCTAGAGAAAGTCGAATCCAGAACAGAACAAATTTACGCCTTATCCCAGATCTAACTGAAATAAACTTTCGAGCAACTACAATGATTTTATATATTGATATATTTGATACTAAATATAATAATTATTTATAAATTTTAGTTTTTGATCTTCAACTATAAAACTATTTCAACTATAATTACCTTACTTTTTGTATTTAATTACACTGATTTTACATGTTAATATAAAGGTTTAGTTATAGAACCTATAAGTTTCTATGTATATTTAAAATATTGAATTTACATGTTGATTATGTATTTGGATGGGAACACATGCCTGATGATGCCCCTAAGCCCCAAAAAAACAAATAAAGGCCATTCTTGATTGGATCACTTAAATCATTCTTTTAATTGAGTTAGTTAAATAGGGTTTATCCCTAATCTTATCTTTTTCATTATTTCTTGTGATCTCCGCCTCGTTATTCTTTTACTTCGAAATACGACAATCTTTTCTACATAGAAGACGAATCACTACACCTACATGTCTCAGTTCATGCACCATTCTCTTGTACCCAAATACTAACACTTTATAAATTACATCGAAAGTATGAACTAAACGAATCTAGCCAGTAACATTATTTGATAAATTTATTCTTTCTCTTGTCATGGAATTCCGAGACATTGTTTAAAATGAGTAGATACCTAACCTAGCAATTTGACAAAACATGAATTGTTTACATTTTACAAGTAAATGTCAGAGAACGATTAAAATTTATGCATCTTCGACTAACTATAGAAATTATTCTGATTCTAACAACACAAACCTAAACTATTTATGATTTTAAACTAGAAAAAATATCTTAGTAACATTCAACACAATAATTAGCTTCTATGTTAAATATGTTGTGACTTAAAAAAAAAAAATTGTTGTGACTTCAGAGAACGATTAAAACTACATAAATGTGTTTGGTCCTCTAGTGATAAATTAAATTCGTAGACACAAAAATGTGTTTACAAAGAACGATTTAAACTACATAAATGTGTTTGGTCCTCTAGTGATTTGTAGATCAAACACATTTTATGTATGTTAATTAATTGTTTTAGACACTAAAAAAAATTGTTGTGACTTTAGAGAACGATTAAAACTACATAAATGTGTTTGTTCCTCTAGTGATAAACTAAATTCGTAGACCAAACACATTTTATGTAGAAAATGAGTATTATCATGGTGCACAAAAAACAAAAAAAGTATTATCATCATCAATTCATCATATATCAAATTTTCGTAAGCCCATATTAAGGCCCAACATCAAAGCCCAATAAACTCTTTCCCGCTTTGGCGCCCATTATAAACTCAGGTTTTATTTTTCTAAATCCTTATTCCTCAAATGGCTTGGCTTCGTTTCTTCTCAAGAACCCTAATAAAATCTCAAAACCCAATCGTTCCCCAAATCTCATCTTCTTCCCCAAACCCTAACCCTAATCCCAGAACCTTACCTTTCTCAACTTCATTTCTCATCACAAAAACACCAGAAAAATTCAAAAAAAAGCGAAAAAAACCAGAATCCGCAAGAACCAAATCAATCCAACACGAATCAACCAAAACCCCACAATTCGAATCACTCGTTTCACGCGACGCTCATTTCCGATTCCTAATCCGATCAAAAGAATTCATCTCAAAGCAACCAGAGCGAATTCTCCGACTAGATGACGCCGGAAAACTCTACCGTGAACTCGGATTCCCACGCGGTCGTAAGGTTACTCGATTCATACCAAAACATCCTCTGATTTTTCAAACGTATCGACATAACGATGGGAAGATTTGGTTAGGGTTTTCGGAGTTTATGGAGGATTTGTTAGATGAAGAGAAATGTTTAATGGAATTAATGGAGTTAGATAGAGTTAATCGAGTTCGTAAGTTGTTGATGATGACGAAAGATAAACGAATTTTGTTGAGTAAAATCCATCACACTCGATTGCTATTCGGTATTCCTGAAGATTTTCGAGACCGTGTTGCGAAGTATCCGGATTATTTCCTGGTTGTTACGGGTGGAGATGGGAATCGAGTGCTTGAGTTGGTGAATTGGGATACGAATCTTGCGGTTAGTGAGCTCGAGAGACAGTTTATGGTTGACGAAGATAAAGCGAAAAGAGCGTTTAAGTTTCCGGTGAAACATGGGAAGGAGTTGGAGTTGGAAGAGAAAGATAAGAGGAAGCTGAATCAGTTGAATACGTTTCCTTTGGTTTCGCCGTATTCGGATGGTTGGAAGTTTGATGTGTGGACTTTAGAAGCGGAGAAGTATCGTGTTGGGATTGTGCACGAGTTCTTGAACTTGACGTTAGAGAAAAGAGCTTCGATTCATCATATTGTGGAGTTTAAAGATGAGTTTAGTTTGACTAGACAGACTTATCTGATGTTGAAGAAGCAGCCTACTACTTTTTACTTGGCTGGTACTGAGATGAATTGGACTGTGTTTTTGAAGGATGGTTACGACGAGAATGGTGTTTTGATTAGTAAAGATCCACAGGTTGTGTTTAATGAAAAGCTGTATAAGTATGCAGATATGCAGCAGATGGAAGTTAATTAATTCTGGCCAAAACAATTGAGCAGAGAGACATTGATGGGATAATCTTGAAGGACAGTACTGCTGTTTCTGTCGTATCATTGGATCATATCTCGATAGTGTTGGATCTTGAAGTACAGCAAGAGTGCGGCAGTGCGCTATTTCTGTTGTATCATTATCGGATCGATTGTAGATGGTCTTGGTTCAATCTGTTCGAAAGATAGCTCAGTTAGTTGTAGTATCAGTTCTGATCTAGTATTGACAGAAAATGAATTGGGCTACAATGTTGTAATCTGAAATCATTTTACACTTTTCTACAAACTGGTAAGCTATGAATTAAATCCCCTCATTGGTCTAAGGAACAGTTGTGTTTATTATACAAGAAGGTTAAAATATAAAGTCACTGTGAAGCTGAAACACTTCTGCTTGATGAGCTTGACTCCCCAATTGAGACAGTGGCCAAAGACTTGGAAGCCCATGCTCGAGCATTCATGGCTCCTTCCTGCAAATTGCTACTCATGCAAGGTTCTTTGAGATACATGGCAAGGGTATGCTCCAGAAGGTTCCGCGGTCTCATATTCTGAGCAACCCGTCCCCAAGTGGATTTCGCTAACAAAACCATTGTGGGGGAAATCAACTGTAGCAATCTCAACAAAACGAAAACCGTGGCAAGAGTCAGGTAAGTCTCTTCGCGAAGCAGATTCTCCGGTGATCTTGTTGCCCATGGGAAGGGGCAATTCTCTGGCTTTGTGTGGAAATGATGAACTAACCTGTTATTCTCAACCCAAGTTTCATCCAGCGTTTCAATTCCTACATCCCCACGAATGTATTCGGATTAGTTTCATCGGTTGAAATCTTAACAACAGGATCATAATAGCAACTCTAACCAAGACTAAAGCATAGAGCCAAATGCTTATCCATCTCTAAATGGACCAACACAAAGTAACAACTCAAATGCCTTACCAGTAACATCACTGTAGAAGGCAACAAGAGAATCTAGAGTTCTGGATCCCCGGTAAACTACGCCCATTGTTGAATTCATAAGGATGATAGTAGGAAACCCATGAACTCCATACTTGGACAAGGTACTGAACCACACCACAAAAAAAACAGAGCATCAAAACCATGAAGTTCTCAATCAAAATGATTTCGGTCTTTTATATAAAACCCACCTAGCTTTAACTGATGATTCCTCAATTGCAAAGTGAGGAACTGATGAATATAACAAAGACATAAGATCAAAGCTTGGTCTAACTAATCTGGAGAAAGGACACCATGATGCATAAAAGAGTAAAGCCACATAGTCACACTTGTTCTTATCAATCATATCAGAAGCCACTTGTAACCACCGATCATCTCCCTTCATAAACAACAAATACATAAATCACAAACTCAGATCAAGAAAGCAAGTGAGAGATAAATCTTTGATTCTGAAATTACCTCGGTGACAAAACCAAGACGATGCAAGGCTGATTTATCTTGAAACCCTAAGATATAATCTTTTGCAGATCCTTTAGGACAAATCTGAACACTAATGGTGGCGTTTGTTAGATTTATGAACATAATCACCACCAACAACAACAACAAAATCGGCTTCTTCTCCATTGAAGAAGAAATTTTCCTAAACAAAACTTTTTTGGAGAAAACTAGGATTATTATACAGACATGACAAAGGTAGGTGTTGCCAGCAGAGAAAGGTTGACATGTCGTTGTCGTCAAGAAACAAAAATTTAATGGAGTTTACAAAAGATTAAAATCGAAGATCGGACAAGGAAAAAAAAACAAAAGATCCGGTCGATTTTATTACCGTAAATTTCTTGGAAGATCAGAAGAAAGAAGAAGTAGTAGTGGTTTGTGAATTATGACACAACTGGACAGTTCGTAAAAGAAACAAATGCTTGTCTTGACACAAAGAATAATCAAAATTAGGCAAAAGAAAAAATTGCTTTCTCAGAGTCAATCAACTTCGTTGCGGTGGAAGACATCCGACCACATATATTCTTTTTTTTTTCGTCTGAATAATTTCCAAAAGAGAAATACAAGGTAGAAGGAAGACAAAAATATCCTCGAAAAATAAAGCCCGCGGATGACAAAGATATCTTCAGAAAACTAAGCCGGCGGATGACAAAGATATCTCCAGAAAACTAAGCCCAAACAAGGAAAGCAAACTAGAGTAAAAAGGTACAAAAAGTTAGAACCACAAATAACCAAAGATCTAAAGCTGAAACTCAAAACCATCATATCCCGCAGACAGTCTCATAGAAACAGTTTGGCGTCGGAGCTGAACCAAGAAATAAGAGCCTCGAAAATAAAAACCAAGAGCTCAACAAGCAACAACCCGACGGAACAGAGAACAAGACCAATCCGAAACAGAGTACAACCACAAACACCAACACGTCAACTCGAAAAAGAAAATGAGCTTGGGCGAAACTAAGCTCAAAGAAAACCTTGAAAACGACTGAGGAAAAGTCAAATAGGAACACCAACACTTACACGCGGACAAAGCGAACCAATCAAAGCCATCTACAGGCAAAGACCAGTCACGACCTCGCAACAGAACGATTGGAGAACGACACCACTGCTGCGCCATGAACCCAACCACTAAACCCTATAAGAGTTTCAGAGGAGAGCTAGTAGATGCACCTGCAACGATGAACCATCCGAGTGACAAACCCAAGCACGAACCTAGCCCACCAGAAACCACATAAAATCGAGAGGAGACAAACGGAGCATAAGATCTAGGAACCCAAAACAGAGATCAAGAGCCATCAAAGGACTAAAACCGGAAAGCATAGCCAAGCCATACAATAAGCCGAGGAATTAGACCCAAATCAAGCCAAACAAAACAGATCTCTACGCAGACCAAAAGTACCAACTAACCCAACAACACAAACAACAAAGGGAATCAACCAATAGGACAGAACCCACCGAGATAAGCCGTTACTGCAGAACATTAACCCGAAGCGCTGTCGCAATGGAGAAAAGACCAAGCTTTTCCCACTTGTCTCTCCTCACAGCCACAAGACAAGGAGGAAACACAAAATTGCGAGCAAACAACCTGTTGCAGCCGGACATCAACGGCATCCCCCCACCGAGACCAGGACCACCGAAAACGGAGGCACCACACCTAGATCTGAGAATCCCAAACCCGAGAAGAAACCCTAGAGAAAATTATCACCACGAGCAACACCACAAGGCTTACAACACTCCTAGAAGCAACGTAAAACTTTTTAAACAACTTTTCTGTATTGTAAAATAGTTGACATACAATTTCGGTTTTTTTTTTTGGAATGACTGGATTATGAAAATGATAAATTGTTTGCTGTATTGTAACATAGTCTTAATATTAAATTTGGAGTTAGTTTTAATTAGAAATAAATATTAATCTAAAATTCTTTTTAAATAGTTTGACTATGTAAAAAAAATGCTATAGAGCACACATTAAAAATGCTAGAGAACATCTTGGACTTGCTAAAACACACACGTGTGCTGCCGTTGCCAAGTCAATCTTTGGGTTTTGGTTAATGGGTTGGAGACCCAATAGCCCAAAATTCTGACTGTAATTCTAAATTTTGAAAATTGAAATATCTTTCCGAAACTAATGAATTTATGTGATTATTTAAATCATAAGCCATAACAAAAAAAATTTGGAGACTTCACAAAATGATCATAAAAAGAAAACAATTGATAATTGGAGAAAGATAGGATCAGGTTTACTGCTTGGTTGGAGAGAAGTGTTGATGGAAACTTAAAAAAAAAATACTATAAACCAAGTTTTCTGATTTATTTTCAGTGGTTTTTACGAACGGTAAAAAAATTGACTTAAGGCAAATAATACTTTTAAATGGTGAGGCTGTTGATATATCACATAAGAGAAAAGTGAAATGTAGTCGCGAAAAAAAAAAAAAAAACACAGAGATTGACTTGGTCAAGTTGCTGATGTCCCATTACATTGTCAAACAACCATAAGGTCTCTAGCAACGACTTTGGATGTCAACCCAACAAGAGTGTTCAAATGTGTAAAAGAAAGTATACTATGAGGGTTCGTTATCTCCAATTACCTCAATAGGAGGCTGTTAATTACTCGGTACAAAGCTTTTACACTTTCTGTTAGGCTTTCCTTTAGCCTTATTTAACTTCACTATGAGGTCGTTACTCGAAATCTCCAATTAGCTTTACGTATCTTTTAGTAGGAAGCTTGAGACTCGTTTATCCATAATTGTGTTGGAACTTGTCAAAGTTGACATGTTGATATAAAAGATGAATTTTTTTTTGAATGTTTCTTTAAGACATGGGCGTGATATTTGACGTTAAAATTATTGCATGTCTGAAGTTGCTGCAAGACATGCAATATTGTTGGAAACTTGTTCAAGTCAAATTCATATTTGACGTTAATATTATCAACATGATTTCGTTTAGTACACTACAAGAATATGACGCATTTATAGCATAAGAATATAGCAATTAAGGCTGTTTTGCTATTATTGACAAACACCGTAATATGTTATAGCGTTTGGTAAATTTAAAACGCTATGCTTTATTACTCGGAGAAATAAAAGGACGCGGGTCAATGTTTTTAGAATTAGGTTTGATATTTGATAGCACTTTTTTTGATTAAACGCTATTGAATCTATTAGCGGTAAACGAATAATGCCCGCCTCTTGGGAAAATATTTTGTGGGAAAAAAACGAAATTTTGCCTAAGGCACTAACTTTAGACTCTTCACCTAAATTTCTTCATCTCTCTCGATTAGACTCTCTCTCGATTCTTCATCTCTCTCGATTCTTCATCTCGATTCTTCATCTCTCTCTGTAAATCTCTCTCTGTTCTCGACTCTCCATCTCTCTGTTACTCGGCTCTCCATCTCCATCTCTCTGTTACTCGACTCTCCATCTCCATCTATCTGTTACTCGACTCTCCGCCTTCTTTTCTCAGTTAATCGAGTCTCTATCTCTCTTCTCACTCGATTCTCCATCTCTCACTCACATATCTGGTCGTACATTGAGGTTAGGGTTTTGAAAATCGATTTGGGGTTTTGTTTGTGAAATTATCATATTTGAGCTTCAATTTGGGGTTGTAATCGTTTTAGGGTTTTGTTTTAGGGTACTCAGAGTTGCAGAAGCTTTCAATAGCCGTTTCTAGAAGCTTTCGGTGAATCAACAGGTATGTAATTGAAGGTATTTCGATGTTTTGCATGTTATGTTTCCAGAAACTTGCTTGTGTGTTGGTTTCAATCTTGCATGTGTGAGTTAAGCAACTGTTTTTATCTGAGTTAGTGTTTCTCTTTGTCAGTTTCAAACTTGCATGTGTGTTGGTTTCGAATTGAGCAACTGTTTTGAATTGATTTAGTGTTATTTTCATACTGTTTTGTTAAAACTAAACTTGTTTCTCTTTGTTAGTCATGTTTCTCTTTGTCAGTCATGAAAATTGAGCTACTGTTTTGTCAAAACCAAACTTGTTTTCGAAATCAACATATATTATAAGAAACAAAGTATTTTGCTACTTTGTTCTTTGTATATATGCCACTATATTATAAGAAACAAAGTATTTTACTACTTTGTTCTTTGTTATGTATGTGTTTGCTCTTTGTTTCTGAGAAGTTATATATATATATATGGTTGCTCTTTGGTCTAATATATATAATATATCATATATATGGGCTTGGAGCTTGGTGTTGTTGTAAAATGGATAAGTCTTGGGTATGGCTGCCAAGGAATAGCATCGAGTATGAGAAAGGAGCAACTACATTTGTTTATTCATCAGCGAGGAGTTTGGGAGATCCAAAAGAAATGTTCTGTCCATGTAAGGATTGCCGGAATCTGTGTCATCAACCAGTAGAAAGAGTTTTGGAGCATCTAGTTATTAAGGGAATGGATCAGAAATACAAAAGAAATGAATGCTGGAGTAAGCATGGGGATATAAGGTGATGCGGACATCCAAATCAAACCAAACCGGGATTATACCAAACCAACCGGTACATGTATCAAACCGGTTGATATGGAGCATTTTGGAGGATTCTTGCCCAAATGGAGTCATAATCAAGCACAAGGCCTAGGGTTAATTATTCACCAGCAAATTAATCCTAAGAAGACAAACGATAGTTCAGGAGGAATCAAAGACCAGCGAGCCGAATCACCATGTTGGGGAAATTTGACCGTTGCACTCTTTTTCCCTTATCTAGGGTTTGTCCCAATGGGTTTACCTAGAAAGGTTTTTAACGAGGCAACATCAAGTCATCAAGGAATCATTTACCAAGAAATTGATTCGAAGATGTTACAAGTACATATAGCTGATGTACTTGCTGACAGACCGGCTGCACTACTTGCTGAACTACTCGCTGAACTACTTTCTGAAGTACCACACCAAATGAAGCCAAATAAGGAAATCTTCCTTATTCTATACTTGGACGTGCCTCAAAGCTTTATTTGGCGACCTGGAGAGTATCTAGATCACTTAGAGGCTTCACTACACGCTCTAAGATACACCACACCACATTTGATCAAGCGGATCAATTCTGAGCTCTACTTACCATATTTGGACCCGATTGTCATCAATGTCCCATGGATCTTTCCCCTTTTGTTTGAGCGTCCACTTAAGATATTCCAGAGCATCAAGAAGCTTCCAAGACGTCACAACTTCCTCCCCAAGTTGACAAGATATAAGGCACACCTCACTTGCCTTATTTGGACCAACGACCATATTTTCTTTTAATGTTGCGATTTGTTTCTTTGTTTAGCATTTAGAACGTTTGTACTCAGCCTATATAAGCTGATCATTAGTCTCATTGTAAAGCACCCTTGATCATATTAAAGTAATAGAAACGTTTTCTTCTTGTCAAAGTTTGAGTCTTTGTCATTGTTCTGTAGTTCTTTGTGAGTGAGTCACTAAGTACTTCAGGATTCTGCGGATTAAGTTTGTTGAGTGATTCAACATCCTTCATTCGTTCATTGATCGAGTGAGTCGATTACCCCACTGATTGAGCGAGTCAATCACCCTTCTATCCATCAATTCCCCTTGAATCGATCCCACACGAGAGAAGCGACCGCCATCGTGTCAGATCACCACCTTCATCATCCCACCTTCCGCGTGAAAAGCTTGGAATCTCTTGATCATCAAGTGATCTAAAGTTGGAGTGATTCCAATCTTGTATCATCTGGTATCAGAGCTTCAAAAGCTCCTATCCCCAAGGTTGTATCTTTTCAACCTATATCTTTTTGATTTTTCAATTTTGTTATTTAATTTTTATAAATTTGAAAACCAAAAAAAAAAAAAAAAAATTTTGTTTCTTGCTTTGTTATTGTTTATTTGCTTCAGTACTTTCATTAAAAATAAAAAAATTATTTGCTTCAGTTTATTATTTATTTTATAATTATTATAAGAAAAATCCATAAAAAATCATATTTTTTATTAGTTTTCGGAATTTTATTTTTATAAAATCAGAAAAGAGAAATAAAAATTGTTTTTTCCTTTATATTTTCGATTTTGATTCAAAAAAAGAAAAGAAAAGCAAAATAAAATATTTATTTCCTTATTTTTTGTTTATAATTATTGTTCTTGCCATATTTGCTGAACTAGTGTTTGACACACTTTTCCGTTTTATGTGTCTGTGAGGTACGGTTCTTAAAATTTAGAACGAATATGGAGTCCATTGAGTTCTATTCGGATGAAGAAATCCAAGGAGAAGAGCCTTACCAAGTCATGTCGGATGAGGAAGACGATTATGGAAGCATCTCTTGGCATCACAATGATCATTCAGATTCTGAATCAAGAGATGAACCAGGCCGTGAAGCACCAGAACCAGAACCGCCTGACTCATACAACACCAATACAGGCTATTCTAAACCATGGATTAAATTTAATGATGATTTTTGCAGCCATGGTTCAAAATCTCCATTGACTCGAGCTATGTCTTTTTCAGAAAAAAAGAATTACCTTAAATGGGAAGATGACATGGAGTATAAAGGGGCAACGGCAAAGGAATACAATTGCCAACGTCTTCCAAGGCATGAAGAGAAGCTTGACCATCACACCTTGTTATACCGAGGGCCTACAGCCTCACGTCAAGCAAAACCGAGACACAAGTTCTTTCACACAAATACACGAGTAGTACAGGAAGTGACTCAAGAAGTGACTCAGAGATCATCAATGTGGCGTAAACCATATCCCCGTGGTAGGCGTGACTACCTAGCTGAGAGAGACTCAGGGATCACTAATCTAAGAGGAGGCGAGCTGAAACGTGGCACTGGTCGAGACCCACTACTATCCAATCCCACCCGAACCTACCAAACAAAACTCAGGTTATCTCTAGACAATGGTTATGAGTATTTTGGACCTGAATCTTTTGAGTTTGCAGGACGTGAGAGAGATTATCTGCAATGGGAACTCAACATGGATAAGTACTTTAGATACTATTCCATTCCCAAAGAAGAGAGGCTCAACTATTGTCTTGAACAACTCATGGGAAGCGCGAAACGTTGGTGGGACCGAGAAGAAAAAGATAGACGATGGTTCAAGGAGCCAGCACTCAAAACGTGGGGACATCTAAAGATACTTATGAGGGAGAGATATGCACCTCACAGTCTTCCCCAACCTGGTCAACACACTTACCATCCAAAGGAACCAAGCCGAGAGAACACTACACATCAACGTGTTAGTTCCAATCAAATTGCGGATCAAGATCCCGCTAAGAAGAATGAGAAAGGTACATGTGCAAAAGGAGAACCGAGCTCCATACCGGTACTTGAACCACATGCTGAACCACATGTTGAAACACATGCTGAACCACATGTTGAACCACATGCTGAACTAAAGCAAGGTATGTCCTATGATTCATTAAAATCAAATGAACCAACATGTTATAGATGTCATAAGAAGGGACATTTTGCTGCAACTTGCTATAAAAGACAAGTAGAGGATGTCATATCACTAGAGCTGAAAGTGGATGCATCTAACTTCAATGATTGTCTAGTGAATTCAAGTTTAGAAATTCCCAATTCTAGATTAATGCGCTTGTCTTTGCCAAAGGTTATTGATGCAGGTATATGTCATAGCATGGATGACACATCTAAAGAAGTAGACCACAACGTAGCAACTCTAAAGGAAGTTGAGAATATCATAAGTTTTGAGGAACAACTTTCGGAAACAACAACATCAACACAAGTTTGCCGAAATAAGACGTATGATCAAGCAGCCCTCAAAGGACGTGTGATAATACAGCCCTGTTCAACACCAGCTGATCTTGCTTCTAAGATCATCCACATCAAGGTTGCATTGACACCGAACACCTTACATGGTACACAAGTAAGCGAAACTTATTATCTTGTTCGATATTGGCATTATCTTATATTCGAAAGGACTTTCAAGAACCATATCCATATCATTTCAATTTCAAGTATAATGCACTTGATCTTGTCTTTGAGTGCCAGTGAAAGTACAGGTACCATGAAGATTTGCGAAGATCAAAGAGAAGCCACAACAATGTTACGGTTACTCTCGGATCAAAGCAAACAAGAAGTTGATTCTGGTCTAACACATGAAAAGGTTCAAAGTAACTTATTTCATTATGTTCATGAACGTCCCTTGACTGCCTTAATACACTTGTCTTGTGCCAAAAGTGTTGAGACACATGTAGGTAATAAGGAGACACATGTGGATCCAAAAGAGGGATCAACAACGAATGATGTTGTGCAGCAATATCAAGAGCTTTTGATATGCGAATCTGTCACTAAAGAGAATGAAATTGTTACCAACAACATCCTGCTGCAAGAAGAACCACCGGACCAGCCATCAAATCAACAAACCAAGTTGATTTCGAAAGATACACTCACCGAGGATCTAAGTCAGGTAAGTAAACTATTACTTCTAATTGTTTCTAGCGATTCGAATGATGTGATAATAAACTTGTTAATCCTTAAAGAGTGTGAGAAAATAGTAGATCTTTTAAATAAATCTATGGAACTAATTTCTTGTCTTAGGACATATCAAGTAGCTGATCTACTTTGTGACATACTTTCTGAATCACTTTGTGGAAAAGAAATGGTTCAATCCAAAATTGGTTTACTTGTTTATATTGATCCCATGACTGTTTTAATGCACTTGTTTCTTGCCCAAAGTGTTGATGAACTTGCAGGTACCAACAAAGAACACATGGAACATAAAGGTGATTCACCGGAAGTGAGGAAAGTCAACGACCAAATTCAAAACCAAAGTGAACCAGCACCATTGATGCTAACACCCTCTATCATGGAGACTAGAAGAGTTTCAAACTCTTGCTTAATCAAAGAGGAACCGCCGGATTTTAAAGCTCAAGCCCAAACCCGAGAAGGATTTAAGAAAGCAACACGACAACTCAAAGCACCGGATCAAAACAGAGGAGTGATCCTATCTTTCTTGCTCAAAGGAGAGCCACCTGATGCACCATGCACCATCAAACCGCCACCCTACCAAGGTAAGACCCTAGCCTCCCAAAATCGAATGAAAGCTAACTTGCTTTCTCTTGGTGCAGATTGTATAGTTTCGAGGTCGAAACTTTTTCAAGGGAGAGGGTATGATGCGGACATCCAAATCAAACCAAACCGGGATTATACCAAACCAACCGGTACATGTATCAAACCGGTTGATATGGAGCATTTTGGAGGATTCTTGCCCAAATGGAGTCATAATCAAGCACAAGGCCTAGGGTTAATTATTCACCAGCAAATTAATCCTAAGAAGACAAACGATAGTTCAGGAGGAATCAAAGACCAGCGAGCCGAATCACCATGTTGGGGAAATTTGACCGTTGCACTCTTTTTCCCTTATCTAGGGTTTGTCCCAATGGGTTTACCTAGAAAGGTTTTTAACGAGGCAACATCAAGTCATCAAGGAATCATTTACCAAGAAATTGATTCGAAGATGTTACAAGTACATATAGCTGATGTACTTGCTGACAGACCGGCTGCACTACTTGCTGAACTACTCGCTGAACTACTTTCTGAAGTACCACACCAAATGAAGCCAAATAAGGAAATCTTCCTTATTCTATACTTGGACGTGCCTCAAAGCTTTATTTGGCGACCTGGAGAGTATCTAGATCACTTAGAGGCTTCACTACACGCTCTAAGATACACCACACCACATTTGATCAAGCGGATCAATTCTGAGCTCTACTTACCATATTTGGACCCGATTGTCATCAATGTCCCATGGATCTTTCCCCTTTTGTTTGAGCGTCCACTTAAGATATTCCAGAGCATCAAGAAGCTTCCAAGACGTCACAACTTCCTCCCCAAGTTGACAAGATATAAGGCACACCTCACTTGCCTTATTTGGACCAACGACCATATTTTCTTTTAATGTTGCGATTTGTTTCTTTGTTTAGCATTTAGAACGTTTGTACTCAGCCTATATAAGCTGATCATTAGTCTCATTGTAAAGCACCCTTGATCATATTAAAGTAATAGAAACGTTTTCTTCTTGTCAAAGTTTGAGTCTTTGTCATTGTTCTGTAGTTCTTTGTGAGTGAGTCACTAAGTACTTCAGGATTCTGCGGATTAAGTTTGTTGAGTGATTCAACATCCTTCATTCGTTCATTGATCGAGTGAGTCGATTACCCCACTGATTGAGCGAGTCAATCACCCTTCTATCCATCAATTCCCCTTGAATCGATCCCACACGAGAGAAGCGACCGCCATCGTGTCAGATCACCACCTTCATCATCCCACCTTCCGCGTGAAAAGCTTGGAATCTCTTGATCATCAAGTGATCTAAAGTTGGAGTGATTCCAATCTTGTATCATAAGGACTGATAAATCAGATGCTGAGCCCAGAAGGGAGTTTGAAGCTTTTGACCTTATTAGAACAGCTTTTTATGATGGAGAAGACCATTCTGATTCTCAGAATCAGAATGGAGATGATAGTCAGGAGGCAGAAACAAAAGAGGAATCTGATTTTAGGAAGAAGCTAAAGGAGGCTGAAACTCCACTATACTTTGGATGTCCCAAGTATACAAAGGTGTCTGCAATCATGGGGCTGTACCGCATCAAAGTGAAGAGTGGGATGTCAGAGAATTACTTTGATCAACTTTTGAGCTTAGTGCATGATATGCTCCCTGGAGAAAATGTGCTTCCAAAATCAACAAATGAGATCAAGAAATTCTTGAAGGTGTTTGGTTTTGGATATGAAACCATTCACGCCTGTAAGAATGATTGCATTCTATACAGAAAGGAGTATGAGCTCAAAGATAGCTGTCCAAGATGCAGTGCTTCAAGATGGGAAAGGGATAAGCACACGGGTGAAGAGAAGAAGGGAATTCCAGCTAAGGTACTTAGGTACTTTCCAATCAAAGATAGATTCAGGCGAATGTTTAGATCCAAGAAAATGGCTGAGGATTTAAGGTGGCATTTTAATAATGCAAGTGAAGATGGTACAATGAGACATCCAGTAGACTCACTTGCTTGGGCTCAAGTGAATAATAAATGGCCAGAGTTTGCTGCTGAACCAAGAAACCTTAGATTAGGTCTTTCAACTGATGGGATGAACCCATTCTCTATTCAGAATACTAAGTATAGTACCTGGCCTGTTTTGCTAGTTAACTACAACATGGCTCCAACAATGTGTATGAAGGCAGAGAATATTATGCTAACACTGTTGATACCTGGACCTACTGCACCAAGCAATAACATTGATGTATATCTAGCACCATTGATAGATGACTTAAAGGATCTGTGGAGTGAAGGTATTCAGGTGTATGACTCCTTCTTAAAGGAAAATTTCACTCTTAAAGCTATGTTGTTGTGGAGTATCAGTGACTATCCAGCCTTAGGGACCTTAGCTGGTTGTAAAGTGAAAGGAAAACAAGCTTGTAATGTCTGTGGGAAGGATACACCATTTAAGTGGTTGAAGTTTAGTAGAAAACATGTGTATTTGAGCAATAGGAAGCGACTCAGTCCAGGGCATCATTACAGGCGTAGAAGAGGCTGGTTTGACAACACTATAGAGGAAGGGACACCAAGTAGAATTCAGACAGGAGAAGAAATATTTGAAATACTCAAAGATTTCAGAAATGATTTTGGGAGACCTTTGGAGAGAAAGAGTAAAAGGAAAAGAACAGACTTGGAAGAAGATGATATGGTTTCTCAAGATGAGTATGATGAAGACACTGATCAATGGAGATGGAAGAAACTCTCTATTCTTTTTCAATTACCTTATTGGAAGGTAAATTCACTTAACAGTTTCCTTACCTTTGTTAGCAGTGCCAATTAGTAATGACTTGTTTTTTTTTTTGTCTTAGTATTTGCCTGTGCGTCACAACATTGATGTGATGCATGTGGAGAAGAATGTGTCTGATGCCTTAGTGTCAATTTTGATGCAAAATGCCAAATCAAAGGATGGCTTGAAAGCACGCAAAGATTTGGAAGATATGGGGATTCGTAGTAACTTGCATACACAGTTAAGAGGAAAGAGGACATACTTACCTCCTGCTGCTTATTGGTTGTCTAAGGAAGAGAAAAGGAGATTCTGTAGTAGGCTAGCCAGGTTTAGAGGGCCTGATGGATATTGTGCCAATATCTCAAATTGTGTATCTGTTGATCCACCAGTCATTGGTGGATTGAAGTCTCATGACCATCATGTGCTTCTTCAAAACTTGTTACCTGTTGCTTTGAGAGGGTTGCTTCCTAAAGGACCTAGAGTTGCTATAAGTAGATTATGCAACTACTTCAGCAGGTTGTGTCAGCGTGTTATTGACCCTGAGAAGCTAATCACATTGGAGTCTGAATTAGTTGAGACACTGTGTCAGCTTGAATTATATTTTCCTCCATCTCTGTTTGATATCATGTTTCATCTACCAATACATTTGGCTAGAGAAGCTCGTCTTGGTGGACCAGTACACTTTAGATGGATGTATCCATTTGAAAGGTAGTATCTTACCTTATAGTCTCTGTTAATTTGTAATGACTGTGTATGCTAAATTTGATGACATATTTTCTGTCTTATTGTGTTCTAGGTACATGAAAACTCTAAAGGCTTATGTGAAAAACTTTGCAAGGCCCGAAGCATGTATGGCTGAGGGATACTTAGCTGGAGAGTGTATGGCCTTTTGCTTGGAGTTTCTACAGAATTCCTTATCATTACCAGAAGCAGTCAACCGCAATGAAGATGTTGAGAGTAATTCACTGATCCTTGAGGGCAGGACACTGCAGAAAGCTACTCAAGTGACACTTACTAGTAAAGAGAGAGAAATAGCTCATAGATATGTTCTGATGAACATGGCTGTTATGGATCCATACATTAAGTAAGTATAACCCATTTCTGTTATTTTATTATTTGATTTAAATGATCTGTAAAATACTTCTTCTTTGAACTGAATACAGCTTGCATTTAGAGGAACTGCAAGCTACTGATGCCAGATGTATGAGCAATGAAACTCTACTATGGAAGATGCATGCAGATCAGTTCTTAGAGTGGATAAAGGAGAAGGTGAACATATTTGCTTTTAATTTCATAAGTATATATAATACTATTATTAACTGACTTGTTTTTAATGTTTATAGATCCCTACAAACTCAACAGAGCATTCAACGCAACTGAGATGGTTGGCCTTTGGACCAAGACATATTGCCCAGACATACAAGGGGTTTGTCATTAATGGACATAGATTTCATACAGATGACATGAAAAGGAAAACTCAAAACAGTGGAGTCACATATGAAGCATTCTCAATGTGTAGATCCAGTGCCAAGGATACTAGACTACAGGCTGATATAGTTACATACTTTGGAGTAATAAAGGAGATCATTCTGTTGGACTATCATATGTTTCAGGTCCCTATATTCAAGTGTCATTGGGCAAACAAAGGGAATGGAGTGAAAGAAGAAGATGGATTCACTCTTGTGAATCTTCATTTGAACCAATCTGCATTTCTTCAGGATCCATACATTCTGGCAGCCCAAGCAAAACAGGTCTTCTATTCCAGAGAAGATGACTCTTCACCTTGGTATGTAGTAATGAAGGCGCCACCAAGAGGATACCATGAGTTGGAGACAGAAGAGGAGTTTGCTGCAGCAACAATAGTAACCCAGGATAATGTAGAATTAGGGAATGAGTCTGATGATGAGAGTTTCTATGTTAGGAATGACTGTGAAGGTGTCTTAGTAATGGAGTAATAGAAAGATTTGAATGTTTTGATTCTGATTTGTTTCTTGAATATATTTTGCTTGGTAAGTCATCTTCTTTGTTATCATTTTGTGGTTTTAGTTGTTTTGATATGTTTGGTGTGTTTCAGGTAAACAGGTATGTCTCCTAAAGTTAAGAAAACCATGCCTCGCCGGAGTAAGCGTAAGCAAGGCATTGAGCTGAGTTCTGAAGTTGGATTACAAGTGCACAGAAGAAGCAAGAAGAATGTTACACAGAAGGTTGACATTGGTGAGCAAGAACATGAAGAGAATCTTGCAGAAAAAGTTCACATTGAGCAGCAGGAGCATGAGAGTGTTGCACAGGAGCATGAGAGTGTTGCAGAGGAGACTGTAGCTGATGTTCTTGGTTCTGACTTGGCTGCAGAGGAGCAGGAAATTGATGAACAAGCTGATGAGGAGGATACACAACCAAATGATGAAGAAGTTCATCAACCTGTACATGAAGACATGGGTCCAGAGGAAGCTGCAGCTGGTGAAGAAGAACAGGTGCATCATTCCACTGAAGAAACTCAAACCCAGCAATCAGTGAGCAAGAAGAGGAAAACAAGAGGACCAACAAGGATGCGTAAAATTGCTAAACAACATGATGAAAAGGTAGATGTTGAATTTACTTCTATTGGTGAACATGTAGGGAATGGATCTGTGTCACTATCATCATTCCTTGGTCCTCTTGTGAGAGAGCATGTACCTGTTCTTCTGGATGATTGGAGGCACCTATCTGATCAGACTAGGGACACATTATGGGAAGAAATACAGGTATATCTGATCCAACTAATTTAACTTATTCTTTTTCAGTGTTTGTGTATGACATTTTAGCTTTTTTTGTAGGGGAGGTTCAATTTGACAGAAGATTGGCAAAAGGATTGTGTTTTCAAGCAGATGGGTTGTGTTTGGAGGGCTTCTAAGTCTAAGCTAACTACTAAGGTGCGAGCTGTAAAGAGCAAAGCACAATTACTTAAGCTAAAACCAAGCAATATAGAATCAGTGTCAGCTTGGAATGCTTGGGTGAACACTACAAGAAATATCCACATTGATAGCACATGAAGATAGCTAATTTTCCGTAACTGCTATGAAAGATGCATGTTTTATTTTGATTACTATATGATAACATCGAAATAACGCTAAGATAAAAAATTACTAAGCGGAAAGCTAAAATCACTTATTCTACCAATACTTAAAAAAAATCCGCTTAAAAAGAGTCATATATCACAGATCTAAAAAATTCTAGTGCCATCGTACCGAAGCCAAAAAAAATTAACCTTCTGACAAAAAAACAAAAACCTAGATCACAAAACTATTCGCCAGCCTCATTTCGCCTCCCTTCCATCATTTTTTCTTCAGACTCAGGTGATTCGTCTCCATCACCATGTGGAGAAGAATCGTCTCCTCTCATCTCGAAACCCTAGCCGTCGATGTTGTCGCTGATTCTCCTCGTCGATTGACAGCTCTGTGTGGTGGACTCGCGTCTGAGATTGAGATTTCAGGCTCGGCGTTCTCGGTTTTGAACAGTGAGTGGAGTTTGGGAGCTTGTCGAGGTGGAGTTTGGGATTTGGATTACGCTAGCTTGAGAGCTACTGCTGACAAGCTTGGAGCTCTTTTGCTCTATGATATGCCTCACATCAGTGGTCTCATTTCTGCTCAGGTAAATAAAAAGCCTACTCTAATTTGTATCGATTTTGTGTTTCATGTACCTTTTCCTTTTGTTAGATCTGGTTTTGTTATGCGTTCTGAATGGTAAAGAACAAAAATTTGCGGGTTGACCCGATTTCACAAGCGTATATGTCTCTTGTTAATTTCGTTTACTCGTCGTCCCTTTACCTCATAAAAAGTTAGGGTTACGGATTCCGAATTAGCAACCATGGAAGAGACCACCGATGGAGTGAACAACATGAACTTGGCCGTTGATTCCCAGAAGAAAAATCGGATTCAGGTTTCAAACACCAAGAAACCATTGTTCTTCTACGTCAATCTCGCCAAGGTACATAGTTTAATTCGATTGCTATAGGACTCGTCTTTTTAGCTTTGAAATTTCTGGACTCTTTTGATCGAGAGGATATTAGTGTGTGAATCCAGTCCAGAAGCTCAATTTTTTCTGGAAATCTATATATACTTCAATATGATTGTACTGTTTCAATTAGGAAGAGCCAAGCTGTTTCTCTATGAGTATTTTAGCTTATTCTCATGTTTGGGTTGGTTTAGGGATTAGGATTTTGCTCTGTGCATTTGTTAGTGCTTCTGTTTGATTTTCTTCAAGCAATGTTGGTGTTGTGATGGAACTCTCCGCTAACTTTTAGGTGATTTTTTTATAGTAATTCTCATATGTATGCTTGTGGGTCTGCTTCTATTGTATTTAAGATTATTTGTGTATGTGTCTGATAGTAATGTATAGCTCTCAATAAAATAGATAATAATGTGACGGTTGCTAGCCATTTGTATGCTATTTATCTCCCTCCTTTGACATAGATTCATGTTTTTAGTAAGGTTTTGATTTTCTTAACTAATATAACCTTCACCCCTTTTCCTGTTTTCTTAGAGACAAGACGTTTGGAGTCTTCAACTTCTAGAGAGCTTGAGTGGTTCAATAGTACCTGTATCATCTAGGTGTAATGCATACGTTTGCCGGTCAGCTCTCTTTCCTGGGAATGGAAACGAAGGCCCTATTCTTAAATCAACTGCAGTAATATTCACAAGGTTATATGCTCGAACCTTAATTCACTTGTACTATTCAATGACTTAGCTGTGCTCACACATCACATGCTTTTGCTTACAACTGAGACCCAAAAGATACCAGTAGTTGGAATAGGATATCATTTCCACGTTTTGGCTATCTTTCGTATTCATTTATAGTGTAATTTTTAATTATTGATGCCATTTAACATGAAATGTTCGTTATTGATATCAAGGCATATGATGCTTTACACGGTAATATTATATTGGGACTGTAATGTGTATTTTTTATTGCAGTATACTCTGATTCTTGACTTCATTAAGCTAATTTTCTCAGAATAAATTGTTTGTTGGTGATACTTACTAAGATACTTACTCTTCTCATCTGCAAATCAACCTTCTTCTCGATTTATTAATTTGGTTTTTGGTTTTGCAGATTAAAATTACACTTGCAGCCAATGAAGAAAAAGAAGCTGCAGAAGCTCAGGTGCAGAACTGAAAATAGCTATTACTATTTTGGTTTCTTGATGCTTATTTTATAATGGGGCTTTATTTGTTTTATTTCATTAATGCTCTAGTTGCCAAGATAGAGAAATCTAGGAATTAACTTTGAGTGTGTGTTATGCGTTAATTGTTCAGATGGAAGTTTTATGTGTTATGCTTTTGATGAGGAGGCGAAAAAGATAGAGAGGAAGAAATTGAAGAGATCGAAGTTTGTCTCTGTCCTTATGATGTTAGTTTTTTTTTTGTTTAATACTTATGATGTTAGTATAAAGACTGGCCTGATGTTATGTAAGACTTGTTTAGCTAAATTGGTAATGTAATATTATTTGTTGATGATTTATAAAATATAAAAAGTAAATTTCACAAAATTGGGTTCTAATATAAAATTTATTTTAAAAATAAATCAAATTTATATAACAAAAAAAATGTTACGACATTATATAAAATAGCACTAAACCTGTGTTATAATAAAATATATTATAGCATTCGATTACTGCTATAATATGAAAATGCTATCGTATGTGGGGGTCTATTATAGCATGCTAAAAATGTCATCGTATGTGGGGGTCTACCATAACAGGGGCATAAGACAGCGTTTATGAAAACGCTATTGATGACATATAATAGCTCTTCTCTCTTGCTAATAATGTAGATATTTCTTGTAGTGGAAGAACAGAAACACCAGTGCCTTCAAGGTTCAGTATGATTGTCTTAAAATAGTTATTGACTAATTCAAATATTTGACTAACTCCACTATACTTTTGTAGGAAATAAGTGAGAAGTACAGGAAGTTGAGGCAGGCCCAGATTCCACACACCACCAGTCGCAAAGGGATGAACCGCCTAGCTCATGAGATGGTATATGTCTACTCTCTGTTAAATAAGTTTGGTAATGATGAGAGTTTCACTAATGACTATCTTACTTGATAGAAAAAAAGAGTTCAAACCCAAAACTGGTGACAAGAAGCAAGGTTTGGGTAGCAGGTCATACACACTCAGATGGGAGACCAGTAAGGCCTGAATTTGCAGAGACTATTGTGAGTTATTAAGTTCACTATCTTTTTTTTTTCTATTGAGAGACTTGCTTTATGTTGACATTCTGGTGTTATTAGGAAAAAATTAAATCGATTGACAGTGAAATGGGCTCCTCATCAACAACAAATCTCAAAGAAGATGCTGTTAGTCAAGTTTTAGGAAAAGACAAGCCTGGAAGACTTAGAGGAATGGGCAGAGGGGTTACTGCAACTAAGTTAGCATTCATGTTAGCTAGAGACTCTCATGTGGAGAAGCTAGAAGCTTCACAAGCTGATTTACGAATAAAGCTTGAGGAATTGCAGGATGTACTGACTGGCTTAACTGGGAAAAAGGTAAGTTAAAACTAAACACTTGTGTTCTATGAAGCAAAATTAAATGTTATTGAACAATGTCCATTGATTCTTGTCAGGACCAGTGTGAAGAGGTATCTAAATCAGAGGCTAGTGATCATAGTAAAGGTGTTAGATGCCAGCTTCTTGATTGGTGTTCAGAGGATGATGTTGTTGTAGGAGAAGGGGAATTCTGCTCAGCTGAACAATGGTACAAGATTGGTCGTATTCCACTTGGTCGTCATGCTGTGGCTGTTATTGTGAAGTCAGTGTCTGATGAAACAGCCTCTCTATGGAGACCTACACCATCTGTATTCTTACTTGGTGGAGCTTTGGGGACCAAGATTGCCTGGCCTTTTGATAAGATCATTCTAGACAATGATGCAGACTCTCCTATTGAGAATAAGACTGCAGGATCCTCAGTAAGGTTTTCTTTCCTTTACTTGTCAAATATCAGTATAATATATAAGCTTAATCAATTATTATTTATGAATCATTAGGCTACAGATGGATCTCACACAAAAATCCTCATAATTGATTGGAATTTGGCTGACTCTGTGGTTGCTGAGGGAAGATTGTGTTCAACTGACAAGGACGAAATGGTCAACAATATGCCTCTTGGTCATTCTGCTGGAATTGTTAATGTTGAGAAAGTGTTTAACAAGAACGCATATCTGTGGAGACCAAGTCCGGGAAAGTTTTTGATGAAGGATGTACTACATGAGAACATCGCATGGCCTCTTCAGAGTATACAATTTGTGAATTCCTCACCAAGGAATGAATCAGCAGCAGCAGATAAAAGACCATCTCCTCCACTGGTAAATTTTTTGAACTTTTTACTTTAAGTGAATTGATGAATGATGGATTTAAGTAATTTTTGATTTTTGCTTATTGTAGAGCTTAAGTAACAGCACTGGTAGCACTGGTAGCAAATCAGTCAAGAAGAAATGCATCTTGTTAGATTGCAAAAACTCCAGGGAAAAAGTAGCAGAAGGAAGAGTATGTCCATCTAATCCATCTGACACAGTCCATCATATGCCTCTTGGTGCCAATGCGAGCAAGGTTTGGGTAGAAGTGTCCAAGGTTGGAGATGCAGCTGTGTGGAGACCAAACTCTGAAATTCAAACCATTGCCGATGCAGTAGGTAGTATGGTGGCTTGGCCTAATGATAAAATCATGTTTGTCTAAATTGTTTGAGTACCAACATTGTTATTTTGGTGAATTCAGTACTTGCTAAGGCATGATCATGTAATTTGACATGTTTATCTAATATGAATTTCATTTTGTCGTTTTAAATCTGTTTTATATAATCTTAATTTGTAAATAATTTGATCAAAACAGAATTGAAACTGGAAATGGATGGTCAAATATTGCACCAAAACAAAATGCCATAAATTGAAACAATTGCAGTTTATTAACTGCTATTGTCATTTTATATGTAGCAAAATAAATATGCTGTCAATAGTAGTATTTAATATCGAATATTAACCGCTATTATATTATTAATTATAGCATAAAGAAAAGCGCTGTAATAACTAACTTTATGGTAGCATAACGAAAAACCGCTATAATATGTCTCCGACCTATTATGACGGGCGATGATAGAGCGCTTGTTAAAACGCTACAGTAGAGTTATATAGCGTTATTCGGGCGCTACAGATGCTTCATTTTCCTGTAGTGGTAATTCCCACCATATATGTTTCTTTGCTAATCTTGGAGAGCTTGTTAAAGTCGAATTCATGCTTACCATTAAAATTAAACAATTATTTACATAAGTTGTTGGTCCTTTTCCATTATATATATTTCTTCTTTTATTACAATCGAAGATAACTCATGAATTTTGAAAAAGAAAATTAGAAAAATTCTAAAGACAAGAAAGAATTGATGTATATGGCTGATTCAAAAACAAAGAAACATTTAATGTTATAGACCTAAAAAGATACAATCTTCTTGTTGGGGTATCATTTAATGTTATATCTATTGTTTTGATTGTTTTCTCTTTTTTAAGTGACTAGTTAGTTACTTTTGTTAGCGCTTAATTTTGTTTTGTTTTTTTTGGTAATGTGGTTATAGAAAAACTTGTTGATATATTTTTTGATTAACTTCTGTAGTAAAAACCTATTTTAAGTTTTTTATACTATGACATATCCCAATGTTGTCCAACGAATGATTGCAGTCTGAGCCCAAAATGGTATCGTAGAGCAAGTTTTAAGCAGTTAATGATATGAGAATTTTCACTTAAGTGAATTTCCTCATTAACGAGGAGAAAAAAAGCGATAGTTATTTTTGATGAAGAAGTAATGAATCCCACTCTCAACACAGCTTACATCATTGTAGAAAGCAAATACTACGGAGAAGTAAATCTCGATAAATTTACAAACAATAAGGGTTTCTTGCTTGGGTGCTCTTAGTTATGTTCCAAACGTACTAAAATATATATAGTTTAGAGCATACAATTTTTAATTTCGTCAAGTTTTAAAAGAGCGTACAAATTTTTAAAGCATGAACTTTCAATTAAACCGTCAAGTTTTAATTAAAGATTAGCTTTTCAGTTAGTTTATGTATCTTTTTTTTTTTTTTTTTTTTTAGTTTATGTATCTTAGCAAGTAAATCTTCAAAAATTTGTATGCTCTTTTAAAACTTTAATTAGTAGGTTTTAAACATGTCTTGCTATAGAGCTGAATGATCAGCGCTTTTTATTTTTTGGTGCTTACGCGTGCTAAAATCGTATCGTATGAAAAAAGGAAAAAGTGTTAAATCTAAGCACATACGTCCCCCGAATGAGAAACCTAGCAAGAGAAATAATTCAATTAATATCAAGAATCTGCATATATCTTACACATTATATATGAAGTAACACGTCTTACGTTCGCTATCATTTTGGTTGATTACCGAGTTTTTGTTAATGAACTGATTTATTAATAAAGATACATTATTAGTTTATTACTGAAAACACAACAAAAAAAACACGTCTAAATTGATTTTAAGACATAGGCTGAAAAATATGTACTCATTTCGATTCGATTATTACTCAAACTATAAACCCTATAACGTCTTGACCATGATAGGTATCGATCTCCTCTAAATATATATAAACCTATCTACCACGTTTTAAGATGTCTAAACTATATATTTGTGTTTTTACCTAATATATATAAAAAAAACTATACAACGATTATTTGGGAGATTTCAAAAGAACTTATTGTGTAAGAAATTTGATAAGTAAGCTGTGTTTTATTCATAATATGATGTTTAGATGATGAAAAAATAATAGAAATAAGTTACCAGTTCACAAAACAAACGACTGATACAACATGGATTTATTGAAAATATAACTCATCTTCATAGCTTATTCAAATTAACTTCCACCCATCTCTGTAGCTAAAACTGCACTTTCACTAAGGGAGAAAGTGATAAAATTCCAAACACAAGTCGTTATGCTCTTGGAAAAGGACATTCACCTGCAAAATAAAGTAATAAAACATATCACTAAACCCAATATGAAAACAATGTAAGAAAAAAGTTTTAATATTACACACAGATATATAAAAATACCTCATTGTAGACCTCACTAATGCTCATTCTACCATTTCTAAACATGTTTAGCATAGTCATAAATGTATTGTATACATCAACATCATCCTCAAACCTTATCTACAAATTAACAAATGATAGTTAATTGAAAAGTGGCAAAAATAAAATTAGTAAAAAAAAATCATAAATTTTAGTAAGACTAGACTAAAATATTATTTATTTGACATCAATTTTTTGAGAAAATTGATTGATCCAAAAAAAAAAAAAAAAAAATTGAACCGTTAACCAAATTCTCCACCCTTATATTCTATCTAGGCATAGTGCACCTACCCTGACTTTGTTGACAAAGCTAATAGCATCGCTAAAGCCAACAGTAATCGGTGATGGAGCTTTGACATCCTCGAGTTTTATCTCACACCCTTTTGGTAAGAAGGTATTGAAACCTAAAATCAAGTCTCGTTGCCCCTTGAAAAGATCTTTCACAATTGTTATGACATCCTTAGTACCAATTCTACCATGAAAAAATGAGCAAATTTAGTTTTCCATTAATCATTATTGAGAGCTAAAACTTGTGCAGTTGTATTACCAATCGATAAAAAGGAGAAAAACAAATCAAAATACCTCCGAGCTCTGAAGTCTTGCAAGAGCTTAAGCAATGTTCTAAATTTCTCAGGTTTATCTTGAAACTTATTCTCCACAATTCTGAGGTACTCACGTGCATCACTCATAGTTGGCCTCTGAGCTACCATGATTTGAAATTGACAGCAACTTCATCGCCCACACAAAGAGAAAATAGATCAATATAGGTATTTCGATATTAACAACTTTACAACAATAAAAATCAATCGAATATCTGAATAAACAATGCTCAAAAAAAAATTCAAACGAAAAACGATATGATACAACCAAAAAAGCTCATCAAATATTTATCGAATTTTGATGACCTAACTCATCATTGGGAAGTGTTTTCTCCTTACCTCACACGAATCACAAAGATACAATATTTTGAACAAATTCCACAAAGAAACACAAGAGATGATTTATTTGTTACATGATTACATGAACCTTATAAAGAGACCTAAAATACTGAAAAAGAAAAAAATCTTCTTTTTGAGGTAACTTTAAATTTTGATGACTATAGTTTTGACTGTTATTCTCTTTTTTTATTTGAATAAGTAGTTACCATTGTGGAGACTTGCATTCTATCGTTGAAACAATATCTTTAGAGGAGACTTGCTATTACAATTATCGAAACCTGATGGATAGAGTTTATTGGTTGTCACCGGATGCAAATATAATTTTGAAGCTTAGTGGAATAGTGTTACTCTCGAACCATAGATCATATGATGCGGCTCATGCCTCTACTCTCTTATGTGAACATATAGCGAGTCTAAACCTTTCCACTATCATGCTTACTCCTCTTGCCCCAAGTCTATTGGAATATGCATCTCAATACTCTCAAATCTTTTGGATAAAACCGCCTCGGTAAAATAATGTATTAGGTTTGATTCGCCATCAGCTTCTACATTTTAGGACCCTGACCTATCAGACCGCCATGATCGTATATAACAAATAGGAATCCCAATCCCCTCCCACGAATATTTGAAGTCTAAGCACAAAGTGGTGTCGTGGAGCAAGTTTTTAGCGATTATTGAGATGAGACTACTCACTGAAGTGAGTTTCCTCAATGACAAGGAGAAGAGAGCTATAGTTTTTTCTTATGAAGATGTAATGAATTTCTCTTGAGTGATACAGAGAAGTGGTGAATCTCAGTAAAATTACAGACAATAAGGGTTTCTTGCTTGCGTGCTCTTATGTTCGAAGTTCAGTGATGTTTTGAGTCTTGGCTCTGATGAGAAACGTTTGAAGTTTTCTTTACTTTTGCATAAACTCTGATTTTTTCTTGACTTTTGCATAGGATCCTATATATGTTTGTTCACTGCAAGTGCAACATCACCCAACCAGCTACTCCGAGATTCTGTGTATACTGTTCTCATGGCAATCAATACTATTTTGTCTTTGCTAGTTTGAAGAGTTTTCCGGTGAAATATACAGTTTTCTTGTCTTTCTAACCAGATATGCTTCAATTTGTAAGTCTGATTCTTGTCTTCGTTTCTATTATTAAATCAAATAAATTTTTCCATATTAGAAATATATGGAACTATGTGAATGCACATAACCTTTTCTATTAGTTTTACGTATCTTAGCAAGTAAATCTTTGATAAGTTGTATGCTAGTTTAAAACTTTAATTTGTAGGTTTTAATCAAATCTTGCTATACAATACAATTAATAATGCATGCCTTTCCATATTTGGTGGTTGCGTATGCAAAAATTCGAATCGTATGAAAAAAAGGAAAAGTGCTCTAACTATACATACATTCCCCAAATGAGAAATCGAGAAAGAGAAATAATTCAAAAAATATTAAGAATATGCATATATCTAACATATTATACATGAAGTAACACGTCTCACGCTCGCTCTAATTTTGGTTGCACAATCGTGAAGGTTTATTATATATAGTGCCCTCTTCGCATTCTCTCTTTAAGATAAACGGTGATAGGGCCATGGATTCAGGTTGGCACATCTGCATGAAAGTCTAAAGAGTCTTTCTTAAGCCACCCGGAGAAGCTTTGGCATTGTTCTTGGTTGATGAGAACGTTTGTTTTTTTTTTATCCTCCTAAAAGAGTTCTATAGGTATTCCTTTATTTTTGGTCCTAACACAGTTAGTCTCCTTTCTCTATAATTCGTATTGTATGGTTGAAGATAAATGTTATGTTGAGAGGTGAGTCCTCCATTAAACCTACAATAAGAATACAAGAATTAGTCCAAGAAGAAGCAAAGTGAAGGAGGAGCAAGACAAATAAGTTGTCGAAGAGAAGAAGAGTTGTGTTAAGCCTTTAAGCAGAAAAAAATAAAATAAAAATAAAAGAAGAGTTGTCGTGTGGAGTCAACGACACAAAGAGAAGAAACAAAGTCAGCAGAATAAGAAGTTGGGCTTTGTGTTTTGTTGTAATGGGCTACAGGTAAATTAGGCTCAAAATATGAAAGTATGTTTTGTTGTGACGAGTGGTGCATAAAACTCTTAACAATATGTATCAAAGTGCAATCTAAGTTTTGAGTGCTACAATGATTAATTTGATAGGAAGATCAAGGAAATATTTACAAGCAGCAAATTCAATGAGTAATTCTAGGATTGAGGTGGACAGATTTGATGGAACTATCTACCTTTCTCTATGGAAAGTTCGCATGTTGGCTCACTTTGGCCTTTCTAAGACTAAAATCAATCTTGACTCATGACAAGGTGCTCATAGATCCACCTACTACTACCAAAGAAAAACTTGAAGATGCTGCAAAGGAAACCCTAGTATGCCAGAGATCACACATTCAATAACATTATAGTTTTTTTTTAATTTCTCAAATTTCACTAGATCGATGTTTGGAGCTAATTCCGAATCTTCAGTTATCATCATTCAAGATCAAAGTGAGCCAACATGCAAACTTTTCATAGCGAAAAGTCAGATTCTCGTTGTATGTTCAAGTAGACGTGTTCCACATACACTACAAGTCATTTATCATAAATGTGAACTATATATGTTTTTAAGATTATAAGAATTGGCATGTGTTTGACTATAACCAAAACTTTGAAAGCCAACAAGTATGAGACCTGGTCTAATACCACAAGCAACATACTACTTACTATACAGTGTATTATAACATGATGGAACCAGAGAAATAAAAAATGTACATCAGACAAACTCCTACAGTTTCTCTCCAGCCCCATAACCGGAAATACATTAAACCGTACCAAATGTATACTCGGTTTACAGTCCAACCAGATTTAACCGGCGTTACAGCCCTTAAGATGTTCCTCTCCTTTTTCACCTCCAAATACCCTTTTACCTGTAAAACCAGACAACCACAATAAATTTGATACTACTTGGTTAGACCAATGTAAAAATAGAAGCTTTAATTGATTGTTTTTACCTGTGGTCTACTGAAAATGTAAACACTTGAATTTGAAAACAGTTAAAACATTTCAGCTCAATTCAATTTAAAACTAATACTACTTGGTTAGACAAGTGTGCCAAAGCGCGAAGCCGGTCACAAATCAGGATGCTGAATCCCTTTGTCCTTTACAGAAATCGACGATTTATGTGAACAGTTTAGGAAGATTGAACTTACTGAAAATAAGAAGACTTTCAATTTGAAAACGTTTATAATATTTTTATGTGAACTTATTGTTGAGAGTCGGATTTGCGAGTTACATACCCGGTTTGTGAAAGCCGTCTCCAGTTCAGTATTTCATGGTGATTCTGCAAGTAGCTAGATGTTGTACTTCCTCCTCCAATCCCATTTTCTTCACTAGGGAACTGTTCTGAGTACCCAGGAGACCACTCGGGGACTATGCCTCCGCTTCTCTCTCTTCTTCCGCTGCTGGAAGATTCCGCTGTTGAGTCTTCAGTGCTCTCTGCAACAATTCTGATATTAAATTCTGGAATCATAGCAGTAACTTGGTTTGAAGCCGGTTCTGCTCTCCGCTGCTGAGCTTGGTTGGTGTTGACCATGTTCCTTGGAACCTCTGCTCTGCTATCTCCTACTGAGTTTCTCAAATTCAGAGACGACTCTTCGTCTTCTTCAGGTCTGATCAAAGAAGAAGTAATGCTTGGAACCATTTGATCCTCATATCTCCTGTTTGGGTTGAGTCTGGTTGGTTCAGTCTCTTCCATTGTGATGTCCCTTGGGAACTCTATAGGAGCTTCCTCCACCTCAGCAGAATCTCCAAGTCCTTCTTCGGATCCATTCTCTATTGCTGCTCTTGAAGCAGCTTCTAGTTGCCACATTTGTGAAAGCGCTTCATGAAGCCGTGCTTTTGCTTCATCTAATCCTACAATTGGTCGAGGATAGTTTGATCCAAGCTCGATACCAGCAGCTTGAAGTACAGACTCAGGTGCGTTCCACGGATGATGTATCCAGTCTGTGGGGAGTCTAGAGAGTTCAGGAAGCCATCGCCTTACGTATTCCCCATTCGGGTCAAACTTGTACCCTTCAAACTGAGGGTTATCTATGCGATCAAACTCCCGGCTATCCGGGAGAGTACCGGTAATGTATTGCCAACCAAGAGCATCGCTTTCTAAATCCGCATCGAGAAGGGTGTCCCAGAAATACTTCATCCCCCATCGCCATGGCAATTGAAGCACTTTAACAAAGAAGCTTGAAACAACTACTCTTATGCGATCGTGCAGCCAACCAGTAGCCCATAACTCTCTCATCCCGGCATCGACTAAAGGATATCCAGTCCGGCCTTGTCTCCATGCCTTGAAATAGTTCTCATCCACAGCCCAAGGGAAGAACTTTAGATGGCCAAGAAGCGGTCTTTCATGGGAGTATGGATGGTTAAAACTTATATATCTAGAATACTCCCTCAAACCAATCGATTTCAGGAAAAGATTCACACTTTCTTCCCCAGCCTCGTTTCCTTCGTTTGCCCACGCCACCTGCTTGATCCGAACAAGATGGAAAACTTTTCTCACACTCACTTCCCCAAAATGCAAGTGTGGAGAAAGAAACGAGGTTGTAGCACTATCGGCTTTCCTGCGGTTCTTAGAGTATTCAATCAATGGTCCGTTTATGAACGTTGTGAGAGCTTTATCAGCATTACTCCATCCCGGAGACCAAGCACGAGCCAGAAGTGCATTACTTCCTTTCTCTGAGTCATCCTCAAAGACCAATGGATCCGAAACACACTTAGACACATCCCCTGCAACACAAGAAGAACCAGAGTGAATAATACAGATTTAAAGAAACCAAAACCCACAAGAGAGTGTGGTCAAGAAACAAACCTGAAATAATCTTCTTAGGTGGAAGTAGAGGAGACTCAGGGTCATAAGGCATACTAAGACATCTTTCCCAAAACGCAGCAAACATAGAGAAAGGACGGCCTAATTCATCAGTCACTTCCCATGGCTCATAAAGCAAATCTGCGTTGAATGATCGAACCGCTATTCCTTGTGCCGTCAAAACATCTTTAGCACGGTGATCACGCACCAAAGACAATGGATCTGAACACATATATGAGACATAAGACATAATTGTGGATCAAAGTTTTGATCTTTTTTCATCTCATCACACACATAAACAAAACCCATAAGAGTAAAGATGATTCCAGTGACAAAAGTCAAATCTTTTTATGCAAAAGCAAGGATAAGATAAGAGAGAAGAGAAGAGGAACAGACCATACAAATGGTTGAAGAAGATCTGAGAAGCACCAGTAGATTTAACAACATCAAGAAGAGAAGCAACACTATCAGTAGATCTCTTGGTGATGAGACAAGTACCAAGACTTCTAAGAGAAGAATCAAGCTGAGCCAAACTGTTCTTGAGCCACCACCTAGAAACCCTACCAGGATGATAGTGTCCTTCTTCTTCTGGTGCCCAAACAAACAGAGCAATCACTGGACCAGCTCTTACTGCTGCAGCTAAAGCTGGATTATCTTCAACCCTAAGATCTCTTCTAAACCATACAATACTACAACCACCAGAACCACAACCAGAAACAGAACCAGACATCTCTCTGAACTAAAACCTAAAGCTTGTCTTTGCCAATAAGCATAAAATAAAATAAAATTACTTTTTTATTCAAACTATTGCAGAAATCGAAAACCCTTTGGTGACTTATCTCTCTCTTGAGAAGAAAGATTTTTGATGAGAAAATAAAAAAAGCTTATCTTTACGAATATCTCTTCTCTCTTTGAGTGCCTCTCTGGCAAAATGCAACTATACTTTTGGGAATTATTCACCCAAAAAGATTTTTCCTAATTTTGGACAAAGTATACGTTATTTGTATTAATATCTCTGATTTATTGTTAGGTTACATTTTGAAATATATTTATATCTTATTAAATTAATTTTGTCTTAAAAGTTAAAACCAAAGAAAAAATAAAATAAATTAGTAGATAGATAAAAAAAAAAAACAAGAAGAAATTGGAGGTTGATAGGGAGAGGCCTTGTTCTAAAAATCGGCCGCCTAGCCGCCTAGGCGGCCGCCTAGGCGCTGATCGGGTGGGGACCGCGGCGATTTTGTCCAAATCGGTAAAAAAAATCGGTGATCCGATTTTTGTCCGCCTAGACCGCCTAGGCGTCC